TAACTTCCCTGTAAGGCTACTGATAACAACTTCCCTGTAAGGCTACTGATAACAACTTCCCTGTAAGGCTACTGATAACAACTCCCCTGTAAGGCTACTGATAATAACTTCCCTGTAAGGCTACTGATAATAACTTCCCTGTGAAGCTACTGATAATAACTCACCTGTAAGGCTACTGATAATAACTCCCCTGTAAGGCTACTGATAATAACTTCCCTGTGAAGCTACTGATAATAACTTCCCTGTAAGGCTACTGATAACAACTCCCCTGTAAGGCTACTGATAATAACTTCCCTGTAAGGCTACTGATAACAACTTCCCTGTAAGGCTACTGATAACAACTTCCCTGTAAGGCTACTGATAACAACTCCCCTGTAAGGCTACTGATAATAACTTCCCTGTAAGGCTACTGATAATAACTTCCCTGTGAAGCTACTGATAATAACTCACCTGTAAGGCTACTGATAATAACTCCCCTGTAAGGCTACTGATAATAACTTCCCTGTGAAGCTACTGATAATAACTTCCCTGTAAGGCTACTGATAACAACTCCCCTGTAAGGCTACTGATAATAATTTCCATGTAATGATACTAATAATAATTTCCCTGTAATGATACTGTTGATAAATTCCCTGTAATGATACTGTTGATAAATTCCCTGTAATGATACTGTAAATAATTTCCCTGTTAGGCTACTGATAATAACTTCCCTGTAAGGCTACTGATAATAACTTCCCTGTAAGGCTACTGATAACAACTCCCCTGTAAGGCTACTGATAATAACTTCCCTGTAAGGCTACTGATAATAACTCCCCTGTAAGGCTACTGATAATAACTCCCCTGTAAGGCTACTGATAATAACTCCCCTGTAAGGCTACTGATAATAACTCCCCTGTAAGGCTACTGATAATAACTTCCCTGTAATGCTACTGATAACAACTCCCCTGTAAGGCTACTGATAATAATTTCCCTGTAATGATACTAATAATAATTTCCCTGTAATGATACTGTTGATAAATTCCCTGTAATGATACTGATAACAACTCCCCTGTAAGGCTACTGATAATAACTCCCCTGTAAGGCTACTGATAATAACTTCCCTGTAATGCTACTGATAACAACTCCCCTGTAAGGCTACTGATAATAATTTCCCTGTAATGATACTAATAATAATTTCCCTGTAATGATACTGTTGATAAATTCCCTGTAATGATACTGTAAATAATTTCCCCGTTAGGCTACTGATAATAACTGCCCTGTAAGGCTACTGATAATAACTTCCCTGTTAGGCTACTGATAATAACTCCCCTGTAAGGCTACTAATAATAACTTCCCTGTAAGGCTACTGATAACAACTCCCCTGTAAGGCTACTGATAATAACTTTCCTGTAAGGCTACTGATAACAACTTCCCTGTTAGGCTACTGATAATAACTTCCCTGTAAGGCTACTGATAATAACTTTCCTGTAAGGCTACTGATAACAACTTCCCTGTTAGGCTACTGATAATAACTTCCCTGTTAGGCTACTGATAATAACTCCCCTGTTAGGCTACTGATAATAACTTCCCTGTAAAGGCTACTGATAATAACTTCCCTGTAAGGCTACTGATAATAACTCCCCTGTAAGGCTACTGATAATAACTTCCCTGTAAGGCTACTGATAATAACTTTCCTGTAAGGCTACTGATAACGACTTCCCTGTTAGGCTACTGATAATAACTTCCCTGTTAGGCTACTGATAATAACTCCCCTGTTAGGCTACTGATAATAACTCCCCTGTAAGGCTACTGATAATAACTTCCCTGTTAGGCTACTGATAATAACTCCCCTGTAAGGCTACTGATAATAATTTCCCTGTAAGGCTACTGATAATAATTCCCCTGTTGGGCTACTGATAATAATTTCCCTGTTGGGCTACTGTTAATAATTTTCCTGTTGGGCTACTGTTAATAATTCCCCTGTTGGGCTACTGATAATAATTTCCCTGTAAGGCTACTGATAATAATTTCCCTATAAGGCTACTGATAATAACTTCCCTGTTAGGCTACTGATAATAACTCCCCTGTAAGGCTACTGATAATAACTTCCCTGTTAGGCTACTGATAATAACTCCCCTGTAAGGCTACTGATAATAATTTCCCTGTAAGGCTACTGATAATAATTCCCCTGTTGGGCTACTGATAATAATTTCCCTGTTGGGCTACTGTTAATAATTTTCCTGTTGGGCTACTGTTAATAATTCCCCTGTTGGGCTACTGATAATAATTTCCCTGTAAGGCTACTGATAATAATTTCCCTATAAGGCTACTGATAATAATTTCCCTGTAAGGATACTGTTGATAAATTCCCTGTAATGATATTGTAAATAATTTCCCTGTAAGGCTACTGATAATAATTCCCCTGTTGGGCTACTGATAATAATTTCCCTGTAAGGCTACTGATAATAATTCCCCTGTTGGGCTACTGATAATAATTTCCCTGTAATGATACTAATAATAATTTCCCTGTAATGATACTGTTGATAAATTCCCTGTAATGATACTGTAAATAATTTCCCTGTTAGGCTACTGATAATAACTTCCCTGTAAGGCTACTGATAATAACTCCCCTGTAAGGCTACTGATAATAACTTCCCTGTAAGGCTACTGATAACAACTCCCCTGTAAGGCTACTGATAATAATTTCCCTGTAATGATACTAATAATAATTTCCCTGTAATGATACTGTTGATAAATTCCCTGTAATGATACTGTAAATAATTTCCCTAATAGGCTACTGATAATAATTTCCCTGTTAGGCTACTGATAATAATTTCCCTGTTAGGCTACTGATAATAACTGCCCTGTAAGGCTACTGATAATAACTTCCCTGTTAGGCTACTGATAATAACTCCCCTGTAAGGCTACTGATAATAATTTCCCTGTAAGGATACTGTTGATAAATTCCCTGTAATGATACTGTAAATAATTTCCCTGTTAGGCTACTGATAATAATTTCCCTGTAAGGCTACTGATAATAATTCCCCTGTTGGGCTACTGATAATAATTTCCCTGTTGGGCTACTGTTAATAATTTTCCTGTTGGGCTACTGTTAATAATTTCCCTGTTAGGATACTGATAATAATTTCCCTGTTGGGCTACTGATAATAATTTCCCTGTAAGGCTACTGATAATAACTTCCCTGTTAGGCTACTGATAATAACTCCCCTGTAAGGCTACTGATAATAATTCCCCTGTTGGGCTACTGATAATAATTTCCCTGTAAGGCTACTGATAATAATTCCCCTGTAAGGCTACTGATAATAACTCCCCTGTAAGGCTACTGATAACAACTCCCCTGTAAGGCTACTGATAACAACTCCCCTGTAAGGCTACTGATAACAACTCCCCTGTAAGGCTACTGATAATAATTTCCCTGTAATGATACTGTTGATAAATTCCCTGTAATGATACTGTAAATAATTCCCCTGTTGGGCTACTGATAATAATTTCCCTGTTGGGCTACTGATAATAATATACCTTTTGGGCTACTGTTGATAATTTCCCTGTAATGATAAGGTTGATAATTTCCCTGTAAGGATACTGTAAATAATTTCCCTGTAAGGCTACTGTAAATAATTTCCCTGTAAGGCTACTGATAATAATTTCCCTGTTAGGATACTGATAATAATTTCCCTGTTAGGCTACTGATAATAATTTCCCTGTTGGGCTACTGTTAATAATTTTCCTGTTGGGCTACTGATAATAAATTCCCTGTTAGGATACTGATAATAATTTTCCTGTTGGGCTACTGATAATAATTTTCCTGTTGGGCTACTGATAATAATATACCTTTTGGGCTACTGTTGATAATTTCCCTGTAATGATAAGGTTGATAATTTCCCTGTAAGGATACTGTAAATAATTTCCCTGTTAGGCTACTGATCATAATTTCCCTGTTGGGTTACTGTTAATAATTCCCATGTAGGACTGCGGATAATAACTACCCTGTTGGACATAGAACTTATTTCACAAGGTTGTAAAGTAATATGACATGTGGCACTAATAACCTGTGTAGTGTCACATCAAACTGAGTTTGACATTTTTAAAATACTTTACAGAATATTGTGTTTTAACAACAGTATGAATCAATGTGTCATAGATAGTGTCATGAAATATGAAACAGACTTACATATCCCCCTCCCATAATATGTACTGCTACTTCCATAATGATAATAAAAAAAGTTTCTGCTGTTCTTTGTGCTGTTTAAATTTATGATGTAATTTAATTTGTTCTCTCAATTTGTTTTCCAGCTGCTGAACGTTTCTTCTGCCGATGTGGTGCTGTATCTCAGATAGATTGCACACTGTGTGGAAAGCAGTCTTATTGCAGTGCAAAGTGCCAGAGTGCTGATTGGCCAAAACACATGCTAGTATGCCTGAAGGCTGACAATAAACTCCTTTCACAATGAAACATACGGCACAAATGATATTCAGTTCTTGTACTTAGACACAAACCTACTATTGCGTAATACTGTATACTCAAAACCTGTCTAAAACTGAAAACTGTCGAAACTGAATTCTGCGAAAACCAGAACCTGTGTAAACTAAACTTTGCCTATACTAGAGCATTATTTAATCTAATCCTGCAAAAACCATGATATATCTGAGCTGAATTCTCCCTGAACCAGAATCTGACTTAACCGAATCCGGGGAAAAAACATATCTAAACAAAATTATATGTATAACCAGAAAAGTAAACCTTTTTTTCCAATTCCACATACTTACTTCTATAGAATTGTTTTGATTAGAACCAAATTCTTCTCTTGAGATTTTTGTGTTCAGCAGTGCAATGGTTGCACTATAATATACCCTTTTATAATACTCAGAGCGTAGTCACACCTTTAAATAGTGGAATGATCAACAGTGTATTTTATATTGTATACGGAACAATGTCATTTATATTGAATACAGTACATGTAAGATTTGACTTATTTTGTACAACTTTCTAGCTGTCCCTGTACATACCCCTATGCACTTCAATAGGTGATTGCAGGCTCCGAAAATGCTTTGTGAAAATCTAAATTGTTGCCGACTGATTTGGAAACTCTGAACGAAGAAGGTACTGAATGTTGTGTTATAAACCTTGCTTGAATACAAAAATGTCTAATCTTGTTATTCAGCTTGACATCTTACAGTGGCAAAAATAACAACACAAAGTAAGCAGGGCCTTAGTTGATGACATGGCAATCTAATAAGGTGTAGAAATTTGATTGCACAAATCCTGGTAATCACCTCTGGAAATACATAAGGCTGTGGTGTTTCCCCATAAACACAGCACTATACTTGGGGCTAACTGTCAGCAATTGAGAAGTTTGGTCAATTTGCAAGTTTATAAAATCATTCAACCAGGTTGGCAAATTTGGTATACATTACTATTTTGAATATCAACCTGGTAAATAATCATTATCTGAAAAATGTTTCAAACCTTGAATCATGTTGAAACTTAACCAAAACCTTTGCAATGTATGGACTTCCAACAAATAAAGTAGTTCATTTGTGTATAAACTTCATGTATACTATAAAACATTGACAGTGACAGAGAAGGCATTCTGACTCATTCAGTTATATCATTTATTATCTATTCATATTTGGAATTTGTATAAATATATAAAAACGCTAATTCATAGAATGATTTTTAACAAAATGGTGAAAATTCACCGTTGCATAATATGATCATTTATGTACAACCATATTTGTTAGTTATGAGAAGTATAATTAAGGTTGCTGTTTTTATATTATATATATATATGTTTGGAATGTGTAGTTGTTTGTTTTTTATGCAATTATAGATTGTTGTTGGCACAATAAAGATTGATTCATCAGAACATGCAATTGTAAGGCTACTGATAGTAATATACCTGTTAGGCTACTGATAATAACTCCCAATTTTGAGCTACCGATAATAATTCCTCTGATACAACCCGTACAGCCATCTGTCAGGTTTTCATTCCATCCATGGTTGACTTCCTGTCGGCTCAATGCCTGGGTGTAGTAGGCATTAATTCCCTTATTTGATTTGAATCCTGCTCGGCCAGTGGACTGGCTTAGTACTTTGGTATGGACTACAGATGGCCAGGGGCTCTGGTACTGTGTCTTGGCACAGACCCTGTGCAGTTCCATATTCAGTAGAGAAATGTTTTTGCCACATATGACCAATAGTATGTTCCTGTACGGTACCCTTACTACTGTCAAACAATTGCTATGATCTATTTTAGGTATCATTTGACCACTAGTATCGTTTCTGTAGGGCAGTGTCTGGCAATTGTTCCTACTCCATAGTGGTTTGCAGACAAACCTTTGGTATGGTTCCCACTATGGACCTCCTACTAGCTTGTCTGGTATGGTTCCATATTTGGATTCTGATTTTATATAATGAGTAGTGCATATTTCTCCATACAGAAAGCCTTGGATGGCATACGTTTTCTGTAACCTTGTTTCAGGCTCATTATAAGCATAGTTAGGCGCTCCCCATCAACCCAGTATAGATCTTTTTGTTCAATATCACTGTACCTGTCAGGTACAGTAGTCCTGAGTCTTGTGTGTCATTTGTCACCCCAAGTTGGTTTGTACAAGTTTCTGACACTTTGAATGTGGCCTCCATTGCTGCCAAAGGAAAGCCCTTTTGCATGTCCCACTGCAAACTCATCCTAAAACTAAACTTGGCAAAAGTATTTGCCTCCACACAAGAATTATTTAAATCACTTATCCTTCTCACCATCAGTGCCCTCTTCTCATCATGAACTAGTTTCGTTTATAGTCTGCGCTTTCTTTCCGAAGATTGGGGCAATAGCCAAAATTTGTCAGTAAAATCCAAAATTAGGGTTCATTTCCAGCAATATTGAATATCAGAAAAAGTGCAGAAAAAATTGAGCGAAAGGGGTGGTGAAAAAGTTATACTGCACCAAGGATTACATTGGTTTGGCTTTGCGCGGAGTGGATGGATGTGATAACTTGTTAGCACATAGCATTATGTACAGGCAGTTGTGACTGCCCACTAAGTAGAGGATTCTGGAAGGTTCTCACCAGCACCAGTGGTTTTTATGAGGTTGATAAATGTTCTTGTGTGTATTTAACCGTACTCTGGCTGGAACATAAAGCACTACAAGAGAACCGTACAGAAACTGAAGAAAAAATGACAGATGTTTCAAACACTATACAGAGGGGACATGGACAAAAAAACTCGCTGTCATATGAATGTGTCTTGTCTGGAATATATATATGTATGGTTCTCATGAACTATTACCAGCCAAAAGTTTAAAATAGACTAAAATGAGAGATGAACCACTTAAAATCCTGTAAACAGTTATTTTAGAACTCAACCCTATGCGCAATATGAATAAAGTACAAGGTAAATAAATTCAATTCAATGTAAACAATAAAACACAAACATTTTGGTTTTGTACTTTTGTCATAATTTCTTTCTGCTAATGAGGTGATGGTTGATCCAGGATTAAATTTTAAAAGCCTGTATTACCTCTGTACAAAAGATTGCTTTTAACCACCGTAACTTAAGGGGTTTTACACTCTTGGATGAAGGTTGGATTCCAGAATGTTTCCAGGGCCTTTTTTCTCTTAATTGTTTTTTTATTTTTTAACTCGCTGTAAGGATTTACGTGGGCAAAATGTCTTCACAGACCCTTTCATGGCTTTTACCGATTCGTGTAAATGGCCTTGCTAATATTGAGATCGAAACAATTTTTGACATTGAGTATATCAGTGTTTTGGTCAAACAGGGGACTTCTCACGGCGAGATCAAATCCCGGAGGGGGCGGGGGGGGGGGGGTCACTGGCTTTTCAGTTTAGTAGGGGTGTGGAGCCAGTAAGTAAAACCCCAGACCCCATCATAGACAAATTTCACCCCAAAAACCATACTTCATTATAGAACAAATAGTGATTTTGTATATCCCATCAGAGACCAAATTTTCACTAAATTTATTCAGTTATAAGTTGAATCTACTCATCAATAGGACTCATCAATAAAAGTACTGAAACTCGTGTAAATACATGGAAATTAACAAAAACAGACCCCCACCCACCCTGACATTGAACCTTAAACCAAACCTTTACCCCATTCTAGAAAAAAAACAGCTAAAATTAGACCCAAAAGGACGGCACGTCTCCATAATATGATTTGCATTATTAAGTACCCCCTCAGGATAGATGACGGTTGGCTACAACTACATACAACTAATTTTCGTTACAGACAATGAAAAATCTGACTGTTCTATGGTGTGCATAGCAGGTCAACCGCGAGATCATTAGGTAGATGAAGCGTGGGAAAATAACTGACTGGATGCATTGTTGATTCCGCTTGCTTTTGATCTATTATCGTTAAGTTGGACCCGCGGCAGTATGCCCTAGCGCGTCAATGAAACGAAAAGCCTCTAATTGAAAATAGGATTTTGATTTTCGTTGTTTCATCTGAAGACAAATTACAAACTGAATGACAAATTGTACTGAAAATGTCAAAACTCTAGGCTAATATCGCTATTGAAATGCACAGAAATTGTGGTTCCTTGTGAATCCGTGACACCTGGTGGCCATTCATTGATATATAAAATGCATGGCACATAAAGTAAATATTATTATGCCAAAAAATCATTTCTCAATATTGAAAAAGACAACGGAAATTGAATTTTACCAATATTTTCAAATGCGCATTAATTTTGTCGAATTGAAATAAAAAATAGAAAATTACATTAGCTGCGGTATATAATACGGCCATTTATTATTTATTTACGAACGTTCCCATGAACATATATCACAATATGTGATGAATTCAATATCAAACATCAAACAAAAATATCCCTCTACAAAAATATGCATTTCATCAATTATCTACAGAAAGAATGACCGAGCTGTCAATCACACTATTGAGGAATATTGACAACACCACATACATTGATAACAGCAACATTGAAAGTGATGTACACCTAGTAGATACAGTACATCTTACTGATTAAGGCACAGCAACATTAGTGAAGAATATTAAAGATATTAATGGACCACTCATTGGGGTCAACAGATCATATAGAAAGGGCCGACACTTCAAAGCCTACAACCAGAGGAATACAAGAAATCAGTATAAAAACAAAAACAACATGCCATACCCAACAAGAGGAAACCCATATCAGTCTCCAATGACTCCTTTCCCAGGTATGCCATTCCATTTTGACTGGGCAAAGACCAAACTTCAACTGATGATGGACATGACAACAAACAGGAAAGCAAATCATTCTTCAGCTCCAAGAAAAAGGAACATTTCCCAGAAAAATGCACTATCACTGTCAGACTGAAACATACAAAATGTGAAAAGAAAACTTGACGATGGTGACTTTATAAAAAAACATAACATGCCATGATATCATTGGTCTCGGTGAGACATGGTTGAATAAAAATTCTCACAGTTCCCTTACAATACCAGGATACTACGCCCGTTCAGTTACTAGGAACAGCCAACAAGGAGGAAGAATATCTATACTGGTGAAACACGATCTATAACAAGTGAAAAGAAAATGTTTGATGATATACTATGGTGTAAACGTAAAAAAGGAATTCTTCAGTTTAAAAAAAAGACATATATCTTTATTTAATTTACAATCCTCCTTCAAATTCAAAACACTGCCGAACTGACTTTTTGATTACTTGGAA